AGGACTAAGGATAGAATCTCAGTGTCAGTGTTTATTTTGTTGATGGTTCTGTACTGCTTTGACGGTACGGAAAAGAGTGTGAACCAAGCGAAGTGCCATATCAAATCGGACCAGGTTCGCTTTCTCAAGGGAAGGCTCCCCGAACGACCACTGCACCGAGTTGATGTGAAGTGTGTTGAGAAGATCAGCAACCCTCGCTGTTATGAAGTCGGCCTGCCTGAAAAGTGAAACATGGCTTTCTGTTTGCTGCTCAGGACCAGTCACTTCCCACTCGAAACCGTCAATGTGTGATTTTGCATCAAAATGTAAATATGAAATGTAGATCATGTAATGAAATTAATGAGACTGTCCAACACCGTGTCAGTAAATGCCCAGCTTTGGCACAAACACAGTATCTTAAGCAACATTATGGAGTGGCTCGATCCTTTTATTATCGTCTTCGCAATGTTTGTGGTTTTGACACAGAGGTCCATCCGTGGTACGACCCAGAATGTGTAGAGGGCGTCATGGAAAATGATAAATACAATTTTTGTTTTAATAGGCCCTAAACAGCCTCAGACGCATCCAGGCCAACAAACCTGATCTTGTCCTTTTTGATAAATCCAATGAAATCATTTATATTATTGAATTTCCTGTCCCCTTTGTCGCTGATGTGATTGACAAGATTGAGGAAAAACATGGCGAATATGCGGACCTCGCTTTCGAAATGATACCCCAAGTACCAAGTTGTCCGACTCCCTATTGTTCTCGGTGCCTTAGGTTTGGTACCTCTTAACCTGTTGACTCACACTGGGAGAGTACCCGGGTTTGCTACCAGGAATACAGCCAATTGCGCCACATTCCATTCACCAAGTGGATGATCATAGCACAATACTATTTTTACCCCGGTAAATGGATCAGTGGTCACTCGATTTTCATTCTCAGCTCCCTGGGGAGTATACAACCCAAGATGCCCGTGAGGCGCTAGAAGGCTAACAGCCACCTCATCCTACTCGGTACCCATTCACTGCTGGGTGTATAGGGGCACATGTCCATCAAAATCACTTGCACAAGGCGACAGCACATGTGCTACAAGCGCTTCAGTGTGAGGCAGGAACGAAACCCTAAAAATTCAAACTGCTGAACGCGGTCACCCAACCAACTACTCTCCGAGACCGACGTTGCTTAACTTCACCTTTGTAACCTGTGTGTAAAAGTTTACGGTATGCGGAAAACCGGGCAACGGGACAACAGACAACGTGCCACTACCAGTATGGTGAGCTTACAATATATATTATGTACGTAATTAATTATGGCAAAATGAAGTCGTTTAAATAGTGACATCTGATTGCTCCACTTATGGACAGGAGGATTTTGTTGTACAGCTTACACAATGTTGTGGTTACTTGATAGTGCGTGTGCATTTTAACCATAATTGATCTATAACTTACAATAATTTGTTTAGTTTTCCACAAATAAATGAAATAAATAACATTGATATTAACATTTCATACAAATTTCATCTCAGTTGAAATAATCCCGAACTTCATCTTAAACAGTATCGATATATCTGTGTAACTATAAGTATCTTTTAATAGAAGATTGAGTGGACCTCACGACAGCAGTCAGTGTGGCCCAGTAGACCTCACAAACAACAGTAGTCAGTGTGGACCAGTGCGTCTCACACACAAAAGTAGTCAGTGTGTCCCAGTTGACCTAACATATCAGTAGTCAGTGTGACCCAGTGCACCTCAGAAAAAAGTAGCCAGTGTGGCCCATTGGAGCTCAAAACCTATAAGTGTGTGAGTGTTGCCCAGTTGACCTCACAAACAAAGTAGCTAGTGTGGCCTAGTGGACCACACAAACAACAGTAGTCAGTGTGGCCGAGTGGAACTCACAAACGAAGTAGCCAGTGTGTCCCAGTCGACTACACAAACAAAGTAGCCAGTGTGTCTGAGTCGACCTCACAACAACAGTAGTCAGTGAGGCTCAGTCGACCTCACAACAACAGTAGTCACTGTGGCCCAGTGGACCTCAAAAACAGCAGTGGTCAGTGTGACTCAGTGGAGCTCACAAACAACAGTAGTCACTGTGGCCCAGTCGACCTCACAACAACAGTAGTCAGTGTGTCCAAGTGCACCTCAGAAACAAAAGTAGTCAGTGTGACCCAGTGGAGCTCACAAACAAAGCAGCCAGTGTTTCCCAGTCGAACTCACAACAACAGTAGTCAGTGTGTCCCAGTGCACCTCACAAACAACAGCGGTCAGTGTGACCCAGTGGAGCTCACAAACAAAAGTAGTCAGTGTGACCCAGTGGAGCTCACAAACAAAGTAGCCAGTGTTTCCCAGTCGAACTCACAACAACAGTAGTCAGTGTGTCCCAGTGCACCTCACAAACAACAGCGGTCAGTGTGACCCAGTGGAGCTCACAAACAAAAGTAGTCAGTGTGACTCAGTGGACCTCACAAACAACAGTAGTCAGTATGGCCCAGTGCACCTCACAAACACCAGTGGTCAGTGTGACCCAGTGGAGCTCACAAACAACAGTAGTCACTGTGGCCCAGTGCACCTTACAAACAAAGTAACCAGTGTGGCCCAGTGGAACTCACAAACAACAGTAGTCAGTGTGACCCTGTGCACCTCACAAACAACAGAAGTCAGTGTGTCCCAGTGCACCTCACAAACAACAATAGGCAGTGTGGCCCAGTGACCTCACAAACAAAAGTAGCCAGTGTGTCCCAGTGGAGCTCACAAACAACAGTAGGCAGTGTGGCTCAGTGCACCTCACAAACAAAGTAGACAGTGTGGCCCAGTGCACCTCACAAACAAAGTAGTCAGTGTGGCCCAGTGCACCTCACAAACAACAGTAGCCAGTGTGGCCCAGTGCACCTCACAACAACAGTAGCCAGTGTGGCCCAGTGCACCTCACAACAACAGTAGCCAGTGTGGCCCAGTGCACCTCAAAAACAACAGTAGCCAGTGTGGCCCAGTGCACCTCACAAACAACAGTAGCCAGTGTGGCCTAGTGCACCTCACAAACAAAGTAGTCAGTGTGGCCCAGTGGAGCTCACAACAACAGTAGTCAGTGTGGCACAGTGGATCTCACAAACAACAGTGGTCAGTGTGGCCAAATTGACGTCACAAAAAACAGTAGTCAATGTGGTCCAGTGGACCCGCAATGCCCAGTGGTCAGTGTGACCAAATGGATGAATGGACTGTTGAATGGCCCAGTGCACCTCACAACAACAGTAGCCAGTGTGGCCCAGTGCACCTCAAAAACAACAGTAGCCAGTGTGGCCCAGTGCACCTCACAAACAACAGTAGCCAGTGTGGCCTAGTGCACCTCACAACAAAGTAGACAGTGTGGCCCAGTGCACCTCACAAACAAAGTAGTCAGTGTGGCCCAGTGCACCTCACAAACAACAGTAGCCAGTGTGGCCCAGTGCACCTCACAACAACAGTAGCCAGTGTGGCCCAGTGCACCTCACAACAACAGTAGGCAGTGTGGCTCAGTGCACCTCACAAACAAAGTAGACAGTGTGGCCCAGTGCACCTCACAAACAAAGTAGTCAGTGTGGCCCAGTGCACCTCACAAACAACAGTAGCCAGTGTGGCCCAGTGCACCTCACAACAACAGTAGCCAGTGTGGCCCAGTGCACCTCACAACAACAGTAGCCAGTGTGGCCCAGTGCACCTCAAAAACAACAGTAGCCAGTGTGGCCCAGTGCACCTCACAAACAACAGTAGCCAGTGTGGCCTAGTGCACCTCACAAACAAAGTAGTCAGTGTGGCCCAGTGGAGCTCACAACAACAGTAGTCAGTGTGGCACAGTGGATCTCACAAACAACAGTGGTCAGTGTGGCCAAATTGACGTCACAAAAAACAGTAGTCAATGTGGTCCAGTGGACCCGCAATGCCCAGTGGTCAGTGTGACCAAATGGATGAATGGACTGTTCAGGGGTTTAACAAATTGGCTGACGTCTTCGACCTGCGTCACTTCAGAACTTTCTCCTGGGTCATCTGACTAACCGTCACACAGCACATGAACTGTTGAGATCAACGTTAACATTGAACCTCAACTCAATAAGTTCTTACATTTTCGCCCAATGTGGTCCCATGTGAACTGAACCTTTCTTTCCATAGTGTAAAAGTCAGTTCTGACACTTGATTATAATTAAACGGTATTCAGAAGAACAAATGCGATAATCTAAGATTACAAACAGAAAATATATGTATCATGAAACTCAAAACATGTGGCAATTGGTAATGAAATAATGATGATTTCAACTTTCCAATACTCAATTTTTCAAAAAGCTCCAGCAGCTCTAGCCTTTGGTGTCTACTTCTGACAACTTAGGAGATATACTCGAAAAAGCTCTTTTTATTAAGATTTCGAAGCGTGTCGCACGGCTCTAGCGCAAAGAAGTTTTATCAGGGTTATAACATTCAAGATAAACTTTCAGGATTCATGGTTAACAAAACTGTAAACTGTAACTGTATACCCTCGGTGTGTGGGTGTTTTTTTAGGTGTAAAATTGGCTTGACTTTGCATGTGTTTGTGACAGATGCCACCACGGGGGCAGGATACGCTCACCTTTTGGCGAAAACCTGATATCACTATTTGATAGTGATTCATAAACACATGCTCATGATATAATTATACTCGTACAATGGACTCTGCCTTCACCCGAAAATTCTAATGATCACGTAAAGGGTTTTGTCGATTTTATTTAACATTTTATCGTAGCACACGTGAACGTAAAACATATTGTGAGATGCTGTTGCACAACACATCTTTAATTCTCCAGTCTCCTGAACGTTTACACCGAGGACATCTATATTTCATCACTAACGTTAGTTCATGGTGTTAAAAGGTGTATTTAAAGGTACCTAAAATAGAATGAGATGAATCAAATTGGTGGTTGAGTGAGGATTGGATATACGGCACAGGACACACACCCTCTCAACAGTAGCCAATGACAGGTCGTATCAAATTAAAGAACACACAAATGCTGACATTACCCCGACCCGGAACATGAATTGGGGAGTGGCCTCTCCAGTAGTATATGTATAGAACACGACTGCAACCTGAATGTATACTCATGCTGACACTTCTAGAAGGCGATCAGAAACATAACATATTTTAGGTAAGTGTATCTGCTAAGACTGGAACCAAGGTATATCGATGTCAAATTCTTTATTGTGCATTGGGTATTTATGCATCAACAAGAAGGAGTTGACTTTCACGAAGCTTGGTTCTCGTGTATACCGCGTTCAACTGCTAATCAAATATTCCTTCAATTATGTTAACTTCAGATTGTGTATCATTTGAATGATGTCTTTGGTTGCTGTTGTCTACATTGCACGTGTATTGATTATGTACACGCAAATAGACATTTGGACACCAGCATTTATACAGCATATTCCAAATGCACAGACACATTGTTTATGCTTTTACAAAATAAGAAGATACGTTTACGCCCAATGGAATCCGTTTCGACAGATAATCGAGGCAGATTACTCTATGGCGTTAAGTTTTCTATTTCTAAAAATGACGTAACATATGAAGACCTTGTATTATTGAGGCGGCTACTATATATGCTACTCTTAGATTTAGCTTTGTGTTGGGATAGAAGGGAATCTCAGATAAAAAGATATCTTGGATGTATTTATCTACACTTCTTAGGGTTCAACCACGTGACTTCAACGGTTTATCTAATTTCTGTTGGATCTATGTAGAATACGTAACGAGCTCCCGTGTAATACCAATTTTATGAAACGAGTGAATAGTTCCTTCGCTCGTCGGATACCACAACTATTCACGAGTTTCATAAAATTGGTTTTACACGGGAGCGAGTTTAGTATTTTATTTATCACTTGCCATTTATAACTTTTTTTAGGATTATACTGTCGTGTGTGAATAGGCTGACACCTACACGATCCACGGCATAATCCAACAGAATAAAACCTCAAACACGTCAAAAGCTGAAACGTATTAATTCAATGCCTTACAACGGCCCACCTTTAGAATTCAGGCGTCCGTTCCACAACGCTATCGTAGCGCTGAGGTTATCGCAACTCACATACTTTAGCATAGACTTACGACTGTCGTTGCGCTGCAGTACGGTCGCCTTGTGGCCCCGGGCCCTGCACCACAAAGTTTACAATCACGTCACAATACCCGATGACGTAATTTGGGGAATTTTGTTGCAAGATCCTTCGGCAAAACAATGCCATGTGACGTCAGGCTAGCGACAAGGTTGCTGGGGTCATCGAATATGCATAAGCTCCACTCAGTGATCTATCATCTACACACACGATGTCATTGAATAAGCAAAGGGATGTTGAGAGCTTTCAATATTTGTTTGTGAAATATGTTCCGACAGTACATAAGCACGCGTTTTGGTATTACACAATGTGTAATACAGCTGTATGTTAATTGAAAGGGCGATCTGTTCACGGGTAAGTGATAATATTTTAATTCTACTTCAGTACTGTTTCGCGTGGTTCAGGTGGGAAATCACACTGAATGTATTTCCCCAACACTCTAACGTCAGTGGGGGCAGAGGTGCCCCAGTTGTCTAAGGCGCCGCAATTCGATTTGCGTTCCTTTGGCACGCCAGAAACCTATGATTGTGGATTTGAATCTCGGTTCGCCCCGTTTTGTCAGCACCATGCCTGTGCTTGTGGGTGTCAACATGGTGGTAAACGTCTGACCTGCAAAACTACGGACTTTCCTCCCGCATTAAGCTGACGCACCGTGATATAAAAACGGAATACTGTGGCCTTAAACCTAAATCACTCACCCACTCTAACGAACCTATTGACATGTGCAACTATTTGAATTAATATGAATATGCCATACTATGTTTAAACTTTTATTTTAATACAACAGGCATTAATCTTTTGAACTGAATGTTATATTCATGAAGTATGTATCAAGTTATATGCAAAGTGAATAGACAATAATATTGATTTGTGTTAGTTTAACTTGAACTTTCAAGCCAAATGATGCTCCCTGCACGCACACGCAGGCGACTTACACTGTACGGGGCAATCTGATTTCAAGCTGATGGATCACATATTGCGACCTGTACTAGTCACTATTAACCCGACACTCAACCACATATAATGTTTATCGACATAGTGACACACTACATAGCGGTAATTATTGCACACTTTTGCTTTTAAATGTATGAACACCGTTCACTCAGGGATAAAAAGGTACTAAAATGCCATTCTCCATCAATTAGCTTACTCGAGTCAAGTCATGCACTCTCGACAAGAATGTAATTTCCAAACTTTCCGATTTTTCTTAAATGTGTAACCAAGGAGGCTGGTGAATTGTGTGTCATATCGTAATGCCTGCACATTATTTTCAGCAGTATAAACATGCAAACTGTATCAATTTTATTCACTCTTTATATAGACACCATCATAACACGATGTCAAGGCTACTGCAGCTTTTAGGAATCATTGCAATTGCTTTTGTACAAGTACAATCCACGCCAGGTAAGTCCTTCACCAGTAATTCCTACATATTCTCCCACACGAATCAAATAATGCACTGAACAGTACGAATATTTGAGAAAGATAGCGAAATATGTTAAAAGTTTATTTTGTGCATTTTGTGAATTAATTCCATCTTTAATCCAATTGAGATCCGTAGTACATATTATATTGGTGTAACTTCGGACTTCAAAGGTTACGCGTTGAGTGTATTCGATACGTTCTCAAAGGGAGCTCACTACATCCACTTCCGCATTTCTTAAACGGACAAAATAATAACGAAGACGACCTTATGTTAATTTGATTATGGGTAATCGCTATAAGATTACCTGTAGGTTAACGTTATATATAACTGCAGTGAAACATGACATTTAAGCAATTCTGATGAAGAGACGACCTTTATGGGCAACATTTTTACCTTTGTTACGCTCTCATGCAATTAACATTACGGTATTTTCTGGCAATGTGCTTCACCAACATGAGGTGGCACAAGGATGAGCCTTTTGTGAACTCGCTGTGCATAGTTGCATCACTAAGTAACCGGGATCTGTAGATTCATCGCGAATAAGACCCTTGGTCTTCAGGTCAAACGCTTTAATTAATTAATGTGATTTATGGCCTGCGTTACATATTACTTTCCTCTCCCATAATCTGAACGCCACCATTTGGGTAAAAATGATTAATAAATAATGATTGCATGATTCTCATAATTTCAGAATTCAACTGCTTACGGACGAGTGATGATTGTGCAGGTGGCAGCAGCTGTGCCCCCACTGGAGAATGCACGTGTACAGCTCAAAAGGGCAACTATGACTGTGGAACAGGTAGATGTTTATAAACATTCTCTGAAATCATCTACGGAATATACTTTGTGTGTTTGTTGTTTAACGCAACACACAGCCATATTCCAGCAATATGACGCCGGTCTGTAAATAATCGAGTGATATACATTATGAGAATCGATCCACGCAATTGGGATACGATGATATGCATCAAACAAGTCTGACCACCCGATCCAATTAGTCTCAATATTAGAAACGTTTTCTTTCAGATACTACATCCGTTGGCACTGCTTGTGCTTGTGAAAACACCGGGTTTATATGCCTACCAGATGAAACCACATGTGTTTGCTCAGAGAAATTCTACGGACCGAAATGCCAGTACAAAACATGTAAGTACATCTTCCGCTTTTGTATTTCACATTTGAGAAGGAAACATCTTTACTAGTTAACCTCTACTGTATGCTGTTGAAGGAACATTGGATGATCACGACAGTGATATCGATGTTGTCACATCCCAATTTGCCCTTTTCCACAACAGAACAAGAACAACCTTTACCATATCAGTATTTTCAAAAAGGTCATTGTTACAAGTCTTAACATGTATGTGTTAAAGTCAAATGATAGTTCATCTTTACATGTATATTAAGTTATACAAATGCACTTTCTGCTCAGGAATATGGTTCTCGAACACCTGTTGTCGTCACCGATTGTCAGTGATCCGTTCATATAATGTTCAAGCTGTTTGGGCTTTTACGCCCAATTGAATCTGTTTCTGTGAATAACAGAGACTCTATAGCTAGTTATTCTCTGGCGTGAACATTTTACATTTAATAGAGTTGTGGGATGTGTTTACGTTCCTTTCTTTATTTACGATATTTCCTTAATATATGGAAAGGAGATAAGATAATATCTGAGCGTTCAATTACATGCACAATAAATGGGCTTCACATCATGAAGATTCCAAGGTAGAATATAGCAGCAAAACCAGGCTAAAAATAATTTGAGATTAGGGATTATGTGGTCAAGGATTTAACCAGGTCACCTCCTTGGGAGACACTCTTCTGTTCCAACCGCGAAGATGCTGACAGATGCTTACATGAGAGGCCACAACTGTTAATTCAATTACACTCTACAGCATGCATTTAGTGAGTGTCGTTGAGTCTTCCTGACGCTTTGATCAGTATTTAATTCATACAAAGACTTGACAGCTAAATAGGGTAGGAAAGACGCAGGTCGTTGTGATAAAGTGATATTGTTCACAAATGGCAGGTCACACCCACAATTAATACGCTAACTCAATCCTTTCCTGTGGAATTGCAGTGGATGTGAGTTGTTCGAGTGCTGGGAACCACATCCTGAACGTCAACGTACCCGGTACCCCAACGTGTTATGTGAAGGGATTTGAGAACACCTGCAGCTTTACCACAACTCCACCTACCGGAACACCGACGGGCTGGACAGGAAACTTTCTGGAAGCATCCCTTACAGATTCTACAAACTGTGGACCACCGACAGCAACTACGGTTTGGAACAACTGTTGTAGTAATTAAGCTAACATAAAAAAGTAAAATTTTAATAGAAATGAATGACAAGGTCATAAAGTAATGCAACTACATACACTGTACTATCCACATGGCATCTAAATAAATTATTATTATGTTTCTCAATAAACAAAAGGTTTTACTGTATGTAATGTTAAATTACAGGATACGAATGGAACATCCACTCAGTGCTTTACAGTGATTTGCCGGTATGAAGCCTTGTATCTCACAGGGCTCGATTTTGAGGCCACCTTCTGCTGCGGTGATGCGCAGAAGACGGTTACAACTGCAGACTTGAGCTTGTCAGAAAAGTAGGTATAATTTCGCGTCCTTGTCGTATTAACATACTTGAAAGGTAAAACCTTCCTGGTCACCAATCACGAGGAATTCATACTTATAACATGTTATAATACATGCATGTTGAGTGTAAACCAATTGCTTCGGTTTTGCTGCCCAAATGGCTTCCTTTCCCTGTCGCAAAAACAGTGTTGATTAATGTTCACTTACAAAATTAGACATTTTCACCACTTCTACATTCCATGCTACCAATAAATAGGTTAAGTACAAACACATTCATATACGAAACCGCAAAAGAAACGATTTTAATCGGGACTGTGGGCAGGCAACTGCATGGTTCTGATGCCATTTTGCTGGTCTCTTGTTGCTATCGCAGTGTGGGCACGGGCGTTATCATGCTGAAACTCGTGGTTGCGGCAACGTGCCAAATGAGGTATGGCGTGTGGTCTCAAGACTTGATCAATGTACCGAGCTGCTGTGACACCATTGCCTCTCCCTGGACCGATGTTCTGGAAGGCCACAGGGCCGACCATCTGTGCAAGACCAATTCCACCCCACACCATGATGCTCGGACCACCCCACGAGTCTCTCTCAACAACACAAGCATCCGAAAAACGTTCCCCACGGCGTCGCCAGACTCTCCCTCTGTCATCTACTGTTGAGCTACAGTATCGGCTCTCGTCTGAGAAGAAGACTCTTCTGTGCTGGTGCTGTGTTGCCCACTGAAGACGGTTCCGGCGATGACGTGGTGTCAGAATGGGTCCTCGGTGTAGCCTGTGACAGTGGGGGTGTCTGCTCGTCAATCGTCAACGCACGGTGTCCGCACTAATGTGTCGCTGAGGTGTCCGCATGGTCTGTCGAGCAGTTTCCGCAGGAGTAACAAAGCGATCTGTCCAGCTTGCAATCGTCCAAGGGCTTGGTGTTGCTGATTTCTTGTCAATCTTGGCATGTGGTAGCAATTCAATAACGAATGAATGTTATCCGATCTGGGTGGATTTGTATAGGGCAAGAAATGGGGGAACGCATGGGGGAACGCATGTGCATTTCAATTTGCGCGGAACTCACCTGCAACGAGTTACCCTGGCCATTGCCGTGATGAGTTTGGGCGATCAGTTTTATTGTCATCTGCTTTATTTTTTATCATCAAATTTCATTTTTCTGGAGAAGGTCATGTTAAATTTTAGAAACTTTGAGAAAAATTACCCAGCCAGATATTTAAATGACAACTTTTCATGCAAAGTTACTTAAGGTGACGTTTCTTTTGCGGTTCAGTATATTATTTTCGGTTATCCACAAAGTCGTTTGCCCCTTGTGACCATCCGGGTTAGAATTGATATTAAGTAGCCGATGTCAGTCGCAAGAAGGCGACTGACGTGATGGGATTTCCAGACTCGCTGCCTTGGGTGACGATGTCATCCAAATATTTACAGACCACCGTCATATACCTGGAATATAGCTGAGTGCGGCATTAAACAACAAACGAACAAAACAAAGTCTTTTGAAAGTCTTCCCTCGGCAGAAGTCATTGAGTAATTGAAGCTGCATTCATCAATGTACAAACTATGATAACCCATTTAGAAGTTTACTGCATGAGCATCGTTGTACGCAGTTGCGCCAGGTCGCTCATGTAAACACCTTACCTTAATAAATCGGCTTTCACGTCAAGGTTTGGTCACTAGAATACTGACTTGACTCGGTATGAACACGGGCACGCAAGAAAGATAATAACATATGTGAATGATAATATAGTAGGAAATTTGTGTGTAAGAGATAATTACTCGTTATGTTAGAAACACATTTAATATTTTCTAAAATGTACTGATTTCAGTGGACTGACTCCAACAAACGTTGTTGCAGACCCTGCAGGGAATGTTGTTACGGTGGTGATGAAGGACGGTTCTGACGCCCCTATAACCAGTGGGTCCACAGTTGATATCGGTTCGACGGTTAAGCTGGAATTCACACTTGATTCTGCCTCCGGTATATATTTTTTATAACATTCTAGTTTTAGCAGACACATTTTCATGCATCATCGAGACACTATCGTTTATTTCATTTTCTGTTCGGCCTTTGAGTAACGGAGATATATCTATGTGTCAGTAGTTGTCTATATGTACAATACCAGGCTCAAATGAAGTGTATTCATTTTGTAACTTTATGAACATATATGGAACTAACCTTTGTGTTAGGTTGTATTACATTATCATCTGAGGAATCTACCTTCTGACATAATATGGTTAAGTACATCTAAAATACATTGACTAATTTCATGTTCTACAACAGATTTTGCTGCAATACGCGTCCTCTCGTGCAAAGCCAAAGATGGCGGATCCATGGAAGCTGTGTTTATTACAAACAGGTATGGTTTTAATCGTCAGTATCAAAATATATTAATCTTTACTGTCGGTAGTTTCCATTATTCCAAAGAAAATCGAATTAAAACTTGAATTCTTTAACTGCAGTTGTCCCGCAAAGACATTTGTTCAAAGCACCACGCGTACGCGTACGACTGGCAGTCCAGTAACAATTGAAACAAGAGCTATCAGGTTCACATCAGGTTCAACCGTCACTTACGAATGTACAGTTCTTGTCTGCAGACAAATGACCGAATGCACAGCGGTGAGTATACATGTATATAATGGTACGTTACTGTTATAATTGGGTTTTGTTGATTAATTACGGAAAATGATCATTGTGTCATACACACCGATAGAGCAAATCTTTGTTCCACACTCGAATATTTATATGCCGCCGTGATTCGGCCTCCGTAATGTGCGAAAAACAACGGTTACTCACTCCTTCGAAGATAATAATAATAATTTGTTTGAAATTGTTGATACATTGTTTGATATTGTTTGGTACATTGTTTGATATTGTTTGGTTCATTGTTTGATATTGTTGGTACATTGTTTGGTACGTTGTTTGCTACATTGTTTATGTGAACAATACAAGTAAACCATACTGCAGAAATCGTAAGCTCATTAACCCGTGAAGATTCCAGGTAGAATAGGTCTTCAGTAACCCATGCTTGTCCGAAGAGGCGACTAACGGGATCGGGTGGTCAGGCTGTCTGGCGAGGCTGATGCATGTCAATGTATTCCGATTGCGTGGATCGATTCTCATGATGTAAATCACTTGACAAACAAACAAGCAAACGTAAGCTCATTAAAGTTAAAACATTTTTCTTTATCATTGCACTGTTTCTTTATTGTATGATTTCATCACCATGTTTCCAGATAAATACAAGAATACATGACGAGTGTATCGGTTAACTACAGATCGAGGGATAACGTTTTATTACATGTTTGTTTATAGGCATTTTGAAGTTGGGGATCTTCCGGTTTCGGGCTTAAGAAGAGAGAAATAATCGTCTCTTTTTTCACTATCCTCCCTGAAAACACAAAAATATGCGAGGCATGTATCGGTTTAACTACAGATTCACGGATAACATTTTTATTCTTGTTCATAGGAAACGTGTACTGGTGGAATTGATGGTTTCGGGCGTAAGAAGAGAGAAATAGCTCCCTCGTCTAACTCCACTGAACAGAAAACGCTTGTCACATTTATCAGAGTCAACGACCCACTTGCAACATCAGATGGTACGTTATTATCAAGCATGGCAAACGGATTAATAGTTCTACCGGTAGAGCAGGACATGCTTACCCTTTTGGCGAACACCTGGTGTCTTACTTCATAAAGTGTTCACCACTATTTTGTCTTTTACGCCTAATGGAATCGGGACGGCAGATAAGTTAGATAATCGAGACTTGTTATTCTCAGGCGTTGACGTTTTATATTATATCGTTTGTTTGCACTTCTTTGTGAACATAATTCAAAAACAGAAAATATTAAAACCGTACACATTTGCGATGGAAGTCCAAAGGACCCTGAAAATATCGATTTCATTCATTCATTTTATATTCTATAAAATAACCTCCTTCCAGTGAAGAGTGCTGTTCAAGACGCTGTTGCGCAGACTGGTACCATCAATCTAACAGCCGCAGTGATTGGCTTGGCTGTCGTTGTCCTTGTCCTCCTTGGAGCGTGTCTTGTCCTTGGCCTTCGTCTCATCAACAGGCGGGCACCTGTTACAGACACCAAAGGATAAAATGTTGGACTTTGTTTCTATTGCCAATGACGAATCTAAAGTCATTGTTTTATTAATTATCATTAAGTCCTTTGTTATGTTTATGTTGTAGGATAAATACAACTTTAGCTCCTATATTGTGACAGTTTTATGATTAAGGCCTACGATTTCTCTTGTAAATTCACAGACGAAAACGTCCCCTAAAAACGAAAGTTGAAATTTCTGCGTTAAATCACGTCAAACCTTTTCTAAAAATTTGTAAACACGATTAGACATAAGAAAAAGTCACACAATTTTTAATTGTCCTATTTTTTTAGATATGTCACAATAAAAGATACATATTTAAAGTCGATGAGTTTGTAGATCACATTCAAAGCTAGAAGTTGTCATTAACGTTAGTCATTCGTTCGCGCAAGATGCAATGGTCATAAACATCTGCGTCATTTATCTTTATTACTTAAAAAGCATTTTACTCTTTTGTGACTGCTATTTTGGTCTATGGATATACGTGAAATGTTAAATCAGCCGAGGGATTTAATAAATGTTTGAAGCTGAAATTTTGTATTCATCGATACAAATACATGTATGTGGTAGATATTCATAAAAATGGATTTCCCCAGGAATTTCATCAAATAACATGAATCAGTTTCGGCGGAAAATGGAGAGTTGTTATTCTTTGGCATTGACGAATTATAGAAATAATATTTTCACCTCTGAAGGGTTTTCATGATGCTTGCGGTAGTGGGCTCGAGTACAAAAGAAACGACACACAAGGTTTGGGGAACAAAAGACCACGAAACGATATTGCCCCTGAACACCACGTAACAAACTGACCGGATCCATTTTCATGTCCTTATTACGTAAAAACGTGAAATTATGCATTTCATTATGTAATACATAATCTTAAATTTTTTAAAACTTGATTAGATGTCAGAAAATGTCACACAATTATAAACAGTCATATAATTTAGATATGTCACAACACAAGATACATTTACAGTCGATGAATTTGTACATCACATTCGAAGCTAAATATTGTCGTACGTTTTCATCATTCGTTCTCTTCTCTTGCCCTGCATAGGTGATTAACATCAGTCATATATCTGTGTTACTAATTGTAAGACTCTTGTGTGACTTATTTTTGTGTGTGTAGATATACGTGGAATGTTTAATCAGCCGATGGATTTAATAAAAAGTTGAAAATGTAATTTTGTGTTGTTTATGGAAAGATATACTAAACAAGTATCTTTACGTGGAAGATATTCATAAAACCATTCATTGCTCAAGGAATCTCCTTTGATAAAATGAATCTGTATAATAAAAAAGTGGAATAAGTACACTATTGAAGGGTTTTCATAATTCTTATTGTATTGGGCTGGAGTACAGAACCGACAAAATAGGTTTGGGGAACAAAAGACCACCAGCCCCCGAACTCCGCGTAAGAAACTGACCGGATCCTTTTCATGTCTTTATTACCCTAGGGGTACGTTATATAGGTCTTCAGCATAAAAGCGACTATGCTTGTCGTAATAGGCAACTAACGGGATCGGATGGTCAGGCTCGCTGACTTGGTTGATGCATGTCATCGTATCCGAATTACGTGGGTCGATTCTCGTGATGTCACTGGGTTGTCTGGTCCAGACTTGATTATTTACAGACCGCCGTCATATAGCTGGAATATTGCTGAGTGCGGCGTTAAACAACAATAAAAAAAGAACCCACGATTATCGCTAAAGACGACTCCAGACCACAGTGAAAGACAGCGAAACCACGTTTAATTCGGGGTTTAAAGATTTTACATGTTTCAGGAAGTATTTACAAATATCCAAATTTTGGGGTTTCATAATTCTCGCAAATATCACCCATATGCCGTATTCAGTGAATCTATTTAAGTGTGAAGAAAGCGGAAAATGTTTCTCACACTCCAACCCCTGAGCAGTATTGTGAGGTGCGACGAGGTCAAATGGGATTTAATGTCGCGTTCAAAATTATTGCACTTACATTTCGACGTACGCATGCATGCACGTGTGTGTGGGGCTGCTTGTACAAGTCCAGACTGATGCCGATTTTATAGTGCTAGCCCACTGACATACCATGCCATACCAGTTTAACATGAGTACTTCAGTATACTTACTCCGAGCCGACCTGTGCTTGTTTAGCCCCTTTACACCGAGCACCAGGCAGGATAACAACAAGTACCATCTTTTAACGTCATTTGGTATGATATGGCCGGGCGGACGCTCTACCACGAGATCACGGAGGCGGCCAGCAGGATTGTGATGCTGACTCATCAAGGGCCATGCACAGTCGGTGTTTATCTTAGTCAGTTTTCCTGACAGGTAAGGCACACTTCTGTAAAGCAAGACATGTTATGGTAAAGAGGTAAATATAAAACGTCGACGCCAGAGAATGGCGAGTCTTGATTATCTGGGGAACAGATTTCAATAGGAATAGAAAACAGCGGCGAAAAATACATGTGTATTAGTGAGTGATAGTTTTAACAGTATTCCAGATATATCACGGCTTGTCAGTTCAATGTGGGAGGAAAGCCCGAAGTGATGCAGGTCTCAAGCGTTTACCACTTTGATGAAACCTACTAGCATGGATATGGTGCTGACAAACCTAAAAACATAATCGGGTCAAACCGGGATTCGAACCCACAATCATAGATTTCTGGCTTGCCCAAGGGACGCAACTATGCACAGCGAATTACGGTGCCTCACACGACTGAGACATCCGTATCCCCATGTGTATATAAACGGATCACTGAAATCAGTGATGACGCTAGGTTCTGCCCTTCCTTGTTGGTACTTTATTACCAAAGGCAGTAATACTTAGAAGAAACACAATATCGTATTTAAACTGTTACGGTTTCTCGTCACAAGCGCCCACAACTCATTTCGATAGGAGAGATTGCAAAGTAATTTGTGATGGCCCCACAATTGATATGATAAATTACAAAACATGAAACCGGAAGTTCAGCCGGAACATCGTCCACTAAAATGTTCTCAAAAGCGAGAAAGAGCAACCAATGTTGTGAGGCATTGGGCTTACTGTTTTGCAGTTGGGACGGTTAGTAATGAAGACTAAACACAGTATTACGGCGTAAAATTGCAATAAACTGAATTCTCGAATCCTAGATACCAGTATGTCATTGCAAACTTAAAGTTTGCTAAGGGTCAAGTTTTGATGGTATAAAAAATCATCCAGCAAATAAAGATTGAAATATCCCGACACACATGATTGGGTAGCCCCTACAGAACCTCGGATTCATCCCTTGTTAACTGCTCATCATCAGAGACATTGATTGGCTTGGTGTATGGCTGGACGTCATTGGAATCTGAGGACGTGGCGATGGATCCATTGGTCTGATGAAAGCAGATTTTTGCTGCACGCCAAAGATAGGCGAATGCGGATTTTGAGACACAGAAACACTGCGTATACCCCGAGGGACATTGTACCAATAGTCCCGTATGGTGGAGGCTCCGTCGTGGTGTGGGGAGCAATATCTCATGACTGTAAACTGGACACGGTAAGAGTACGAGGAAATCTCAACGGCGATCGATACATCAGGACACCATCAATCCTGTTGTTGTGCCACAGTTCTCAATCGTGCACTCGCCACTCGACCTTTGTTTTTGAACGACAACGCAAGGCCCCATTTCTGCAAGGACACAATATTGACACTTTGCCTTGGCCCGCTATGAGTCCAGATTTGAATGTTAATGTTCTTGGACATCGGTTGCAAGCAATGGATCCACCAGTACAGAGTGTGGCAGCTATAGAGTCAGCATTGCATCGATAGTGACAGCAGGTACCTCGTGATCGTATCAGAAGACTCAATGGAGGAATGAGGAGAAGGGTAGAATCTGTCATCCAGGCACAGGGCGGTTACACTGGCTTCTGATTTTCAGGATTGTGATTACCTTGTAAGATTCCAATAAACGTTTTTGGACAGTACTTGGTCTTTCATACCTGATCATGGAACTTCCCAGGTCCATACTTTTCGTGGTTATCAATTTTGCTCAATTACAGTACTATTGCAACTGTGTTATTAATGCAAATAAAATATTGAACATTTGCATCATTTTCTGTGTTTTCATTAGTCAAGAGTGAGTGAGTGTGGTGTGACGCCGCTTTTAGCAATATTCCAGCAATATCACGGCGGAGGACACCGGAAATGGGCTTCACACATTGTACCCATGTCGGGAATCGAACCCGGGTCTTCGGCGTGACGAGCGAACGCTTTAACCACTAGGCTACCCGACCGCCCCTCATTAGTCAAGAGTCTCATCTTACACAAGACATTTAATTCTTCACCATAGCCCAGACATGAAGCGAATGTTGGACAGATATGGTCGCAAAACCAGTGGGTGCTTGATTAACTTCTGGTTGTATAGAAAGTCAGGACACTAGGGGTGAATAGAAGGAATTTAGGATACGCTCAGCACGTTTTTAATGGTCATCGTATGATTTATTAATTGCAAATGGAAGATATACATACATATATTAAAAGAGAACTGAGTATTTGCTGTATAGGCCTGTGGACTCTAAGGTACCGAACTATAAATTGACTGAATGTCATCCCGTCCATTAAGACACAATCTTATAAGGAACGCAATATGTTATCCGTTCGTATCCGTTCCACATGGACACTACCTCACAAGGAACACACTATGATACCCGTTTCTTCCTGATAATAAAAAATATAAATATACAGACATGTTTGACATTATAATTCCGAAAAGGAAAACGATATTATACCCGATCCTTCAGAGAACGCCGTGATGGGGAACACTGTGGCATGCATCACTCACACAGTTTGCATAAAGACGTAAGTTTGTGTTCCCCGTCGCCGCACAGCAGTACACCTGCCATGCCACGGCAGCCCGTCAACACAGGTGTTTGAAACCTGTTAAGTATCATTGTAAAATATGCAACTACATTTTTAACGTTTGTTCTCAAGGCAGTATCTTGTGAAAGATCGCAAAGTAATAAATATGTGTACCGGATCTTTTCAGTGTATACGATAGAATACGCCCTTGTTTTTCAAGTTAGAACTTTTTTTTATATCGCCTGTGATACGGATGACTGCTGGTATGTCTTTTTGTTCGTTCCGTTTCTCGGTGTGTCAGTCATTGGAGGGAAGTACTTTAATGTAATTCTAGATCAATCCCTGATATTATATGACTTATAATCATAAGGTAAAAAGGATTTTTATGTGAAAAGATATCTGATTATGTATATTTTTCTCATCTTTGACATTTACTGGTTGTTTACTCTTCACGACAACAGTAAACAAGAGTCGCCCTGCAACGTCTTTAGCAATGACATAAATGACATTGCCTACAGTTCTTATACAGTGCAGTTCGCCTACATTGTAGTTACTTTCAGTTTAGTTCGCCTACATTGTAGTTACTTTCAGTTTAGTTCGCCTACATTGTAGTGATGTTCAGTTTAGTTCGCTTTTATTGTAGTAAGTTTTAGTTTAGTTCGCCTACATTGTAGTTAGTGTTAGTGCAGTCTTGATTTCAGACACGCAATTTTTGTATCGTTGACGTCAAAAGTCGGATTCCTGTGGCAGCTCTGAAGTTGTTCCTCTGTTCTGGTGCAAGTGGCATGCAAATAACCAGGATGTGTTGCTGTGGACGGCATTTACAAATGTGCAATATGTAAAGTTTGAGCGAGTTGCCTAACCGCGTTTAGTTACTGTGTCTCGTTAGGTGAAATAGGGTTTAACGTCGCGTCCAAGATTATTGCACTCGTCTGTGTGAGTGGTTGCTTGTACTCGTCCGGACGGATGCCGATTTATAGTGCTAGTGCACTGAGATACCATGCCGTAGTTTAATGTGAATACCCCACTCAGACACAGTATACTGACTCCGAACCGACCAGTCCTTGTTTTAGCCCCTTAATGCCGAGCGCCAGACAGGGTAACAACAAGTACCATCTTTTAACGTCTTTTGGTATGACGCGGCCGGGGATCGAACCCCGGACCTTCCGCTCTCCAGGCGGACGCTCTAACTCGAGACCACGGAGGGGGTCCGTGCAACAAAGCTGGTTATTGCATTCTTAAAGCTGAAACAACAGGGGTTCTTTTACATATTGTTCCGCGTATATATATTAGTGCGCTTCTATCAAGAATCTCCCATATTCTTAGTCTGGATAACGCATTTATGAGTCGAAAGTAATATTATTGTTATTATTA